CGCGGGGGAAGCAAGTAAAAATAGCCTGGCGCGCACCGCTCTGCCTGCTCTGGACGCCTTTAACCCTGGCCAAGGTGGGTAGCTCAGCAGCCACTACAGCACACTGCTGAACCTGGCAGGGGTCTGCATCCAGACCCCGTACAACAGCTGGGGTGCGGGGGCTTAGAGACCCGTGAAAACTTTTTTTTTTTTTAGAAACCCAGAGGTGGGGGGAGGGAAGAGCAGGAGAAAGCTGTTTCTTGCTTCTAGCACTCCAGCCACCTGGCTGCAGGGACTGCTATGTGCCCACTGGTCCAACACTTTACAGAAGTGCAGCCTTGACTCGGAGCTATTTTTAGCAACCTCTTCCGCGGGTGGGCGATCAGAGGGAGGAGTGTGAGGGGATTGGGAAGGCTAGCTCTCTGCTGTGAGGCTAGGCGCCTTTGCGGGTGGAGAAGAGGAAGTGTCGAGGGGATAAGCATGCTGGCTTTGCCCTAACTCAAGGAGACAGTGTTAGCTGCTGAATGCCCTACTGCTTTCAAGCCCCTGAGCGTGTTTGTTTTTCGAAATCGACAATTGCCAGATGCATGCTGCTTCTAATCTCTCAGAGAATTGGGATTTTAAAAGCGTTGCTGCCTATTGCTATGGGGTAAAGGTTAGCTGCAGTTAAGACCTTACCGAAGATCGGAAGGGTCTCTGCATCGTTTTGCATTCCAGCAAGACAGAGGGACAATCCCCGTGCCACACCTCCATCCCCGCCTCACGCTGCATATGGGTAACCATATGTGAAATGTACGGCAGCCCCACCAGACACCCGGCTATTAATAGAGCCCGGGAGTTTGCTCTCTGTCTTTTTCCTGCCACCGAGTAAGGGATGATCTTCACACACATACCCCACTCCGCCCCCACCTCGGCGCACCGTTTCTCCAGGAAGGTAAGGGGGCTGCCCACGCTGATCCCCTTCGTGACTACAGGTGCCTAGAGCCTACGGACTAGTCCAGTTGTAACGACAGCAGGGTCACTGCGAGGCCAGGGAACACAGCCTCCAGTCTTGGGACGCAAAACCCAGCAGGGCTCTTTGCGTCTCTGGGCCAACTCGAGAGTAGAGAAAGGGCAGCTATTGGGCTGCCGAAGGCGAGGGGGGCAAGAGCGCAATCTGAAGAGCTAGAGTGGCCTCCTCCAAAGCCGCAGCGGGACGAATGGCTGTAGACCCATTTCTCCCCTGCAGCCCGCGGCGCGCAGCCCCCACCCGGCGCGGGCTTGGCTGCGGCAGGAGCGGGCGCTGTCCCTGGTTCTGAAGGTGGCCGCGACCAGAGCTCCCTCCCCGGGTTTAGCGCCCCAAGGCGGCTCAAACATTCCAGGGTTGCAGACCTCTCACCGGCCCAGATCTGAGCGGAAGGGTCTGTTGGTGGTGCCCAAGTCCCACCACCCGCTCGGTGTGGCCCCACCGCGGCCCGGAGCTCTCCGCGGTGCTGCGGGGACCGAGAGCTGGGGGGACTGACTTGAGCCTGAAGGGTAAAGCTCAGGCAGCGTCTGGAGATGGTCAAGGCACCGCAGGGAGCCGACCTGGTCCCAGGATCACCCACCCCAGCTTTGCACAAAGCTGGGACTCTGGACCCCTAATGAAGCCCAGAGGAGAGAGCAGGGGAGCGCTGCTGCCCAGGGTTTGGGACTTGGGGAAAGAGAAGCGAGCAGCGGGTGGCAGGAGAGGGAGATGGGGTGAGAGCGATTCTTTTGCATTTTCAAAAGGGAGGGGACCTGAGACATGCACTGGCTTTTCCCCCAACACACATACACACACACACACACACACACACACACACACACACACACACGGCCGGCAGAAGCAAGCGGGATGGAGCCGGGGAAAGTTTGGCAC